GTGCGGGCCCCAGCCCCTCCTGCCTGCAGGTCCCCCCCAGGCACCCGCCTGCCATCCGCCTCCTCCCCGACAGCAGGCAGGATCTGCAAACACACCTACCTTCATGTTCTTTTTCAGTTGTTCCGACTTTCTTTATCTTTTTGGGTGATTTCATGAAGAGCGGAAAGATGGTCCTCAGACCAAGGATGTCCACAAACTTGTGACAGTTGTCCGTGCCCTCGGGTCCGATCATGGCGTGGTCCAGGACCTTCAGGGCGCTGCTGCGGGAAATCTTCTTCTCTCTGTGAAAAGACAGCTGCAAGGTAAACTCTTCAGGGACATGCGGAGCTTTGGACCACTCTACTTTAAAGAGACAGCACGAACAGGGAAATGAATGTGACAAGGAAAGTGTGCAGAGTCAGAGCACAGGCTCTGAGCAAGGTTTTCTTCGAGAAGCCAGAACACTGTATCAACAAACACTCTTTTCAAAACCATGGCTGAAAATATTCTCTTGGTTATTTCTCTTTTAATGTCTTTTATTACTTTTTATTTTCTATTTTCTTTTTATTTCATTTTATATATATTTTTATGGTTTTTATTTTCTTTTTTTTTTTATGTCTTGGCTATTAAAGGAGTTATTTCATTGCCACCTTACAAACACTAGCACAAGAGGGCAGGGGGGACGGAGCTGGGCACACACGGCAAACACTGTCATACCAAGAAGATCAGGATTTACATCTAGCAATAATTCGGTTTAATAAAGGAGTAAGTTGGTAAGTGCAGCTTGGTGGTCAGGGAGGATAGAGCAAATCCCATCTCCAGAAATCCCGGCTGGAAGGAAGCAGGCAGGTTCCGGGCTGTTCTGTTCTAATGCCAGTTCAGAACACTGGCGCTGGTAACCCACACCAACAGCACACAGGCGCTCTGAAAACGATCTCCAAAGGCTCCCTACCTCCCAAACCAGAAACAGAGGAATTGACAATTCACCCAGAGGAATGAACGCCGCTGCTCTGCACTGCTGTGAGATGCTCGGGGATACTGGGGACCTGGAATAAGGATCTACGAAGATCAAAGCGCTGCCGCAGCTCAGTGCCCCCCTATTTCCCCGCGGAGGCAGCAGCGCCGGTGACCTGCAGACCCGGCAGCGCAGGACCAGCCTGGCCACCAGCACACCATGGTGGCCACCCGGCCAGCAGCAGTGTCTGCTCATCCAGGGCTTCCCAAAGCCAAGCTGCAGAGAGCTGTGGAAACACCCTCCCTTCAGAGATGGACCTTTGTGAACCCCCAACAGCATGCAAACTAAACCCACCCACCTGCAAACACCCCAGCCCAGAAGAAAGCTTCACCCCGCGCAGCCACGGCGCTGCCGATGGGCACGATGCGGATGGTGACAGCACCGCGGGGACCCGGCACAGCACCGAGTTCTGCCCCTGGGCACGGAGCGGTGCCAGGGGTGGCTCAGCACCCCCCTCCCTCCGCAGGGAGCTAAAAATAAAGTACTTCTTCTTAGGCCAGACAATATAAGAAATGTTTTCAGGGGAAGTAATTGCATATTGATCAGCATTTAGGAAGGCTGCGCAGAGCTGGTCTCTGGAATATTCATTGGGTTTAAGTTCAGGCTTGTAGAGATCAATAGCTGCTTGACTGGACTGTCTAGAGTTGATTTTATTTGAAATATTTATTCTGCCAGAGGGCAGGCAGTTTATCTCAGTCTCATCTGTGCTTATTGAGGTAACTTTTAGCTGAACACTAATTCAAAGACAAGCACACGTATCGCCAAACAGAGAGTGACCTCAGTCTTCGCAGGGAACTCGGAATTACAGCTTTACTTGCTAACCATTGTTTTCCTGCTTTTAATGCCTCTGCATCTGAGGGAACTCTTTTGGTACATTTATTATTTCAAAAAGAAGATGTGCTAACATTCTGTGGACTTCCCACACTAGCACAACACAATCTCTCACATTCCAAAATACCAGCAAAAGCAGAACACTGGCTTTCCTGGAAGAGTGTTCCGTTTAATTAACCAGAAGCTTTAGTAACGAGACAGTGTAAGCTTCCGTGGGGTCATCAGGAACAGCAGGACAAGAAAACAGAAAAGGATTTTAATAATCATAAAAAATACACCCTGAAATAGCAATAGTCAAACTTTGGGGAGCTGTACAGAGTTGTCCTTTTTCACCTTGTTTTTGCTGTACGCGAACAAATGATTTTCTGAGGGTGAAGAAAAGCCGCGGAAGAGCTGCGGAACAGCAGACCGCGGTGCCCCAGTGAAGCAGGCGTCCCCAGCTCCCTTTGCTGCATTGTCTTGGTGCACACCCGCGCCATCAGTTAACGGCTGGGAAAGCCACACGTCATTTTTCCTATGCAACAGAGAATCATCTTGACACGTCCCCTGGGAACCCCGTGGCTGCATCTCCTCCAAACCTTAACACAATTTTACAGCAAAAGCAATAAGCTTCCTGCCAGCGTGTGCGAGGGAACTGACGTTACACGCTTGTTTTTCTCTTTCGGCTTTGTAAGGTAAAGTGCATCGAGGTTACAAAGGCAAGGCTGAGGGACTGTGTACAGAAAAGTGCTTCCTGACCTGAAAAAACACAACTGATTTTAATTCTATGTGACATTTAAAAACTTGCCACCGGTGGCTACCACCTTGATAAACCATCTTATTTTTGATAAAGACACTTCACAAAATAAACACGCTCTATTGCTGCAGAGATGCAAATCAAATAATTACATACCCACGCTCTCATCCTACCTCAAAACTTCCTGCTTCGTTTCTGCTGTCACCAGCTCCGTCCGTCTCCACCTGGCCTTCCCCCAGACCCTCTGCTCCCCTCCCACATCCCTGCTCAGGGATGCTCCGCTCCCAGGGGCCACTGGCGCGTCCGCCCAGCACCGGACCGGCCCAAGGACAGGACACGGCTTGCTACAGACACGCGCATCAAGCACGCCCGCCACACCGTGCTCGTTGGCAGGTGTTGCCGCTGTCTCCCCACAGCCTAGCAGAAGTTCACGCCATACTACAGCACCTTTCGCTGCTGGCCGTACATTTTGAGGCTCGGGATGAAAGCAAGCAGTCCTGTTTTCACTCCTGTCTGCGGGAATCCCTCGAGAGTGTTAAATCCTCGGCTGGAAGATGCTGTACCTCTCTGCGGGTCTGTGTGCCTGACCGTTGTGAACAGAACAACTTGCCTAGACGGACTGGGCAGCGTTAGATACAGAATGTTATGTTCTCCACGACAGGAACAGAGATTCAAGCCTGATATCTTTATTCTCACATGGCTTATCCGCCTCCCATCATGTCAATAAACTTCCAACTCTGCTTGTTCGTCCTTCCATCTGCACAGACCACGGCACAATGATTAACCGTCTTCAAAGTAAAACCAAAAAATAACAGATCTCTCCCCCAAGCCTTCAGAGGACACTGACAGGAGAGAAAAATATTCAGCCCTGTTTGTGGGCGAGGTGGTCAATCACAACGGAACAGCATTTCTGTTCGTTGCTGTTTATCGTGAAGGCATCGAGAAGATACACAAGTGTAACGCTCCGTGCAGCTCTCCGGATCACAACCACCGAGGTTCACTCCCTGTCCACAGCGCCAGCCTGCGGTCCCAAAGCGGCATTAAGAAAAGCTGAGCACCTGGACGAGCTTCCAGGCACACACAAGAGAGCTCCCGATGACAGCAGAGGTTAACAGAACTAACAGCCAGTGAATACCTTCTGGATAATACAATACGTAAAAATCAAACAAACACCAAAACCTTGCAGCATCAGTGCTCAGTTTGCTTTGTTTGGTGGGGTCCTGGTACAGAGACTGGTAAGTGGAGTCCAAAAATAGGGAAAAAGCCATTAAAAATCCCAACACTGAGTCCCACCCACACGGCACAAGGACGCCAAGTAATTAGTTCTGCAAGGCTAGCTTAGTACTCACGGCAGAGGGAGGCTTCCCTCTCCTTCTTAGTTTTGGAGCTTTTCTTTAATTAGCCTCAAGAAAACCCAGCGTTCCTATTTGAATAATCCACGCTTGGTTATTTATTCAGTTCCCCGCTGCTGCGCATTACCCAGCCACGCGCCGCAGGAACACATCGCTTCTCGTTGGCGTTTGCTAAGCGTGCACCACACGCAGCCCGGCACGGTGGGGAGAGCCAGACAGAGCCCCGCTGCGCCCCGTCCCCAGAGGGAGCCCGGCCCTGCAGAACACACAGTTCGGTACCAGGCTGGGAGGTAAACGTGAAGAGAGGGCAGAGAAGGTCTGGAGAGTCTGTGTGAGAAAGCACGGCACAAGAAGAAATGCTTCCGTGCATTTCACAACAGCAATTTTTGTATCAGCATTGACGAAAATTCACCAGCTCACAGGATACACAGCAGTGAACCTCAAGCTGGGGAACAAAAGGAAAAACGGTTTCTCCAGAGCCATCCAAACCTTCTCTCTTACCCTCAGAGGGGTCTTTTACATCCTTAGAGGATTAGTGGCCTGACCTATAGCAACCTCTCCTCTGGGCGTCTGCCACACAGATCTGCACCGTCGCTTCCCAGCAGCTATTGCAGTAACCCCAGTTCTCAGGGAACAAAGCGAAAGACAAAGAGCAGAGCTTACATGTCTGAGAAGGTCCAGCTACATGCTGGAAAAAGAGAAACTGAAGACAGACAAATATGCTAACTCAAAAACGCTATAAACGGAAAAATACAAATATCTACCCAGAATACAGTGAGAAAATCACAAGGGTATCAGGGTACCTGAGCATCAGATTCATCAGCTGCAGACCCTCGCCCTTCAGGAAGCGATCGCGGTTGGAACTGAGCATTAGGCAGGAGCAAAGGGAGTCAAACAGGTTCTCCATCATTTCCTGTTCTTCTGCTGTACCAGGGTTGTGGCGTTTAAACACCTGCGTGACAAAGAAAGCAAAATTACCCCAAAGTGGAGGGCCCAGGGGGGTCCACACTGTGGCAGAGCATACACGAACATTTTACATCGCAGACCCTCAGCATCTGATAGACAAAAGGCTGCAGCCATCACACGTCGCTGCTGCGTTCCCTCCTGTAGCTCTGCTGCCCTTTCGATGTCCCTGACAGGCAGCTGAGGACAACACCGGGTCCCCAGAGGGAAGGGCCAGCTCACCGACTGAGCGATTCACAGAAGTATGTGGGTGAGCTTGTTACCAGAACTCCTCGGTGTCACACATACCTGAGGGATCGGCGCTGCAGCACCCAGCCTCAAGAAATAGGGGTGACCTTAGAACACGTTCCCGTCACCCGGCTTGACACAGACAGGGCTTGGAGGGGAGAAGGCTGAAGGTGGCCAAATTCTAACCCTGCCTGTCTCCAATTTGCCAGGTAATTATAACAAAGGAATTTAACTTCTGTGTCCCTCTACACGAACATCGGTAAAACAGGGACTAACCCCACTGTCCGTGGAAGTTATCCAGGGACTCTGCCCCCACTAACACCAAGCAGGGCTGTGCTCAGGACCCGCAGACTGCCAGGACAGCGCTACGCCCCGAATCTGCTCCACCTCCTCACCCCCAGGCTGCGAGGCTCCTGCCAGCGGCGAGGGCGGAGGTGAATTACTCACGGATAACTGCTGAAGCAGCACATCGATCCCGTCCAGCTCCCCAAGCAATTCTCTGTTGTCTAGACGGAGGTGGGGGGAGGGGGAAAAGAGAGAGAAAAATGAAGCTAACTGTCAGATTTTACAGCCATCTAACACTGATACATCAACGAACAAAATCGATAGGGCCTGACAGAGTACAAAAGCTGCAGAGAAAGAGAGGGCGCACGCGCGTGAGAGGGGGCACGCGCGCAGCAGAGAGCACGGGCAAAGGGACGCCGAGGGCAGAGGACCACTGCTGTGACCCGAAAGAAGCCTGGGTTCTACCCTAACAGGACACCGGCACCAGGGGCACGTCTCACCGTCGTTATTCTGGAGGAGAATAGCCAGCACCTCGCTGCAGTACAGCTTGTTGGCATCAAAGGGCATCTTGGCCTGTTGGTGAAGAAGGAACAAGAGACTCGTTTCATCGATCTGAAGATGACAATCAAATCACTGAACGTTGTGAGCAACGCTGGCACCAAGAGACAACAGCAGCAGTTCTGCAGTATGCCTCAGTGACAGAACAGCAATAAACCCCCAGATCTGGGGTGGCGGGGTGTGAGCGGGGGGTGTGTGTGTGTGTGCTCGTGCACACGTGTAAGAGCTCCGCTCCGACCCTCCACGCTGCCCTACACACACAGGTTTGACCAAGTTGGCTCAAAACCCCCGAGAACCGTCTCCGCTTGTTTGCAACACGGCATCTCTTTCCTGTGATAAATTTTCCATGATGTTATACAAGCGCATGGGGCTTATCCCCGTTCTGAAAGTCTGCACCTGTCACCAAAAACAGAATTTCAGAGAATACCTCCCAGGAACATTAAATAGTAATTGCCAGAGTTCTGTATGAGGATCACAATGGCACAGTCAGAAGAACATGAGGTGGGTTTAGCCTGCGCAGCCACGTAACTTTCAGTTCATACATTCCCTCCACACTCTAATATGTTTAAAAAAACCATAATAAAACCAAAACACTGAATCTGAAGGAAAAAAATAAAACCCTGAAGTGGGATTCTGAACTGGACCCAATGTTGTTGCGTGCTGCCAAAGCTGCACCATCTACAGAAACACCCCGAACACCGAGCGATCAGATAATAATGCAACCTGGCTTACTGAAGGAATTCACAAAATAAAACAATTTTTAAAATCATCAGTTACCAGCTATTTGTATTCCAGTGTTCGAGAGGGGAAATAAAAAGCAAGCAATAAGTACTAGGCTTCAAACACACCATTTGTCACCCCCCATTTTTTCCCCAAATGCACGACTACCTGCAGCGTGATTGAGTGGAGCTGCCTGCGCCAGGCGACGCGGGGGCCAATTATCCCGACCTGCTGCCAAAGAAAAGGTCACAGCACACGAGCACCACGCAACACAGAAACAGGAAAAGCAGGAAGATCCCAACTGCCACAATGTCTTGGCTTTAAATAAAGCTTTTCATTCAGAATGGTCTCCAGCCGCTCAGGAGATGAGGGTATTTATAGCAACCACGTCAGAGTGCTGAGCACCAGGGGCACGGGAGGGGGACAGGGAGGGGGACGCTGGCAGCTCTGCAGGCTGCGTACCAACGCTGTCCTACAGCAAGTGTTAGGAAATAACGCTCTGTTCTCTCAACGCTGTGCACAACATCATCAAACCCTGCCTATGCTGGGAGAAGTGAGCTATTAAGCTCTCCATCTGAGCTTTCGAGGCGGTTCTGACAGTCGGAATACAATTATGCAACCTGAAATGGAGTCAGAAAACAGAAACGCGCACTCTGTGCTGCGTGCCAGATGTCCTTACCGACACCTAGGCAGAACCCTGATCTTAAAACTTATCCTGTAGATGTGTTTCAGCAGCACACCACTCTGCCCAGATGCTGGTTTAACCCTAAACACATCTGCCAGGGCGAGGGATTCAGGACCCAGCGCTGCCAACAGCACAGGCGCCTGGGCAAGGGTTTCGTCAGGGAGCAGCTCCCCAGGACAGCAGGCAGGCAGGAAAAAGCACTGCCTGATCTCAGCTCCCCACAGACAGACACAGCTCGTGCACGCCAGGGCGAAGGAAAGACACCCTCAGCCCCGAGTTTCGAGGCTTTTAACATTCATTTTCTGTGGCAGGGGAATCCAGGTCGTGATTATTTTGCTTTCCCAATTTTCTGAGTCCTTCAGCTGCAGCAGCAATTACAAGGCAGGCAGCACTACACACCTGCCTGGAATAAAATGAACTTCACTTTTTGTTTTTAGGCAACATAATTACATTCCTTTTACTACCTGTAGTGATAAATTCTAGGTTACTTCTGCTGCCAAGCATAGGAGGGGCACAGAGGGGTATCTGCACGCTGACAGAGCAGATCTGTGACTCAGAGCCCTTCTAACCATAAAGACACTGAAGTGTGGAAGTGCTAACCCTGACTAACAGGGTTAGGAAAAAGACAGAGTTTGTTTGCTAAAATTCCCTTCACCAGCTCTGTAAGACAGCTGAACTATCAATCCCTTTCCTACAGTATTTTCCGGGGAGCATTTATGCACCTTTTCACAAAACAGCGTTAAATCGTGCAGCTCACGGCCACAGGATGCTATATCAAACAGGAATTTTGAATTCAAAAGGCAATTAGATGGGTTCAAAGAAAAAGCCGCCAGCAGCAGCAGCTAACCAAAGACACTACTTGAAACTGAAAGAAGCGTTAGAAATGTCAGAAGCAAAGGCATGAAGCGGTCTCTGCTAGTTCCCCTGCCCACTGACCAGCTCTTACATCCCTACAGCTCTCAGCCACGGAGCAGAAATCCCCCCCGCAGGAACCACATGGAGAGAAGGAAGACACCTTCTACGGAAACACAGAAACAGGTAAAAGAAGACTCAAGAAAATTCAACATTACAGATCCCCTTCTGGGCAAACACTCCAGAAATGAGAGAACTTCTGCCCATGGACTTGCTCACATTGCGTGGAGCTTCTCACACACACCAGCTCCTGCAGTTTTCCCAGTTTACAGCCAGTGACACGGCACCTCCTGCCCAGTTTGAGGCCAGTTCTGAACTCACTGTATTCACAAACGTTAGAACTTGTGACAAAGATACCGATGCAAACGGAAGGAGCCAGCAACAACCAGCCCTGGCCATCGACACTGTGCCAGACACCGCCTCCAGCACAGCTTCCAGACCAGCAGCTCGCCAGTTTTCACTGTGCTGTGTCCCAGAGGAGAACAGAACCAGCTCACCTTCAGCCTCTTGAGCAGCCACTGCATGAGGCCCTGCTGCGCAGCCTCCGTGCACATCTCCGGTCGGAACTCGGCCATGTTCTCCACGATCGCTGGAAGGACAGAGAACAGCCGGTTACCCGCCTGCAGCTCAGCTCAGGTCTGGACCAACACCGCTGTGCCAGGTCCTTCCTGGGGCTGCTCCGCTCTTCTCCAACTTACATCTTGCTCACAAAACCACTTTTTTTTTTGAACAAGACTTCAGCTCAGGTCTAGGACACCCTCTCAGTCCCCACACTGCCCGCACAGTCCATCCTCAGGGTGACACCAGCTCCCGCTGGAAGCAGCCCCAGGTGCTTCCCTCTGCTCAAGCAGCAATTCTTGCTGCACAAAGCTAAACTAACAGTGGCAGTAAAAATCCCAAAAGTCTCATTTCCAGTCTCTCTCATTCTTCCAGTCCCTGGGAGACTGCAGTCCCACACGACTGAAAGGAGTGAGCGATGGTCTGAACACTGGTAACGGCAACACGCTGCAGAGCGGTGCCTGTGCTGGGCCGGCTGGGGAACAGAGGTAACGATGTACTTACACAAAACACAAATGTTTTACTACCCGAAAATTAACTATATTGCTGAGACATAAACGGCTCTCATAACGGAGTAAGAGCTCACGGGTAAGTACCTAGTAAATACCCGGGGAGCGGAGCACTCCTGGCGCAGCACACCGAGCTTCCTCCGTGTACCAGCACCTCCCTTCTGGGAGGGACACCCCGCCAGCAGCCACGCGACAAACGCCGGCTCAAGGGACCAGGCTCTCCGTGAGCTAAAGCTGTGCTCGAACAGAAGCTGCACGAGGTCCTCCAGGGAAAAGGAGGGCGGGAGGAAAGGAAGGGGAGGGAAACCCCCCACCCCGTACAAAATACAGGAAGAAGCGAGAGGCTGAGCACCAGCCGCTTACCCAGCGTGTTGTGGACACCGTCAGCTTCCTCCTTCACACCTTCATCCAGGCGCTCTAAATTCTGCACCAAGAGGGCCACGACCTGCCCCTCCACCTACATCACCAGGGTCACGGGAAAGACAAAAACATTAGACAGACGACTGAAAAAAGGAAGATGAAGGAGAAGGAACAGGGCCGTTAATAACTAATAAAAATCAATAAGCCCTACGGAAACATCCTGCCAGACATGGGCAGGAGACATGAACAATCTTGCTCTGAAATCTCAGAGGAAGCGAAGGACTCACCAAGCAAATCTGCCACTATGTTTGTCCTAATTAATTAAACAACTTTTGTGTTTCAGATTAAACAGAAAAACATCTGGAGGAAAACATGCCCCTTGTCACAGTCTTATTTCCTGCACCAGCCTGATTGATTTATAATCCCTCAGAACCCTGAGCTGCGAGGCGCCGCGAGCACCGCGGCCGGGCTGGCTGTCAGCTCGGCAAGCAGCTCCACTTCCAGCTGCTCTGCCCATGTTTCTGCACATCCTCCACCTGAACAGGCACACACAGCTGAAGAACAATGCTCACACCTGCAGGGTCAAACCCAAAAGCCAGGCGATCACCACCTGACACCGTGTATAAAGCCTGCCCAGATGCATGCACCAAGGGGGCTTCAGCAACCCAGCAGAACCAGAGAAATCAAGGGCAGGAGCAGGAACCCACCTCTGCAGGTGGAGCCTCCTCATCGAAAAGCTAACGCAACAGGTACGCTTTTAAAGCTGCAACTGGGCAGAGTCCAGTGTGACTTTGGCTAACATGGTTGCAGACACGAGCCTGGAAAGTTAAACAAAACAACATTTCCAGTTCCAACGCTGTTAACTAGCTGTGGGGCCAGTGAACACGTGGAAAAAATACAAGTACCGGCTGCTGTGGAAGGTAGCATGACAGTCTTCACAGATACCCTACAGCATTACACCTACTTTCTTTAAAAAAAAAAGAAGTAATCTAAAAAGCAGATATCTAAACATTTCTCCCAAGACATGCCTGGCCTGTTTCTTTCAAAGAGGACAATAAACCCTCTAAAACTCAGCTATTAACAGTGGGCTGGGGACAAGGAAAAGAGAGAAAGAACTTTGCTTGATTTACTACCTCTCTGCACATTTTATAGAAAACAGCTTCCCCAGCAGTTCCTCTCCACCCCTTCATTCACCCAGCAATCTCGCCACGAAGGCACAGTCATTAAGAACAGCCCAGAAGCCAGCCGCAGGAACTCGGCTCCGGGCCACTGTCATTAACCTTTGGAAGGTAACATTATAGTGACTGGACAAGAAGGATGCTAGGAGAAAACAGAGCAGCAACAAAGCAAACAAAAGAAAACTCGTAATTCTCCGTCCTTCAATTTCAACATAATAGTTACAGAACAAGACACAGCCGCAGCGATTCGCAGCAACTCAACAGCAGAAGCGGCGCCAAGGTAGGAGACGTGTAAATCTCGAGTTTTGCTGGGCACTGGCTCTCTGGAGAGCCCCTGCGGGTTCCGCATTCCTCCTCCCGCAGCCGAGGAGCACCCATGCCGGGACAAGGGACGTCCAGCACAGGGAGGCCAGGAGGCACTCCAGAGAGCCAGCCGCGTGGGGAGCCTGAAGACCAAGCAAAGCATCTTCCACTAAACGTAGATCATTTTCTGGGGTTTAATCTTTACGCCAAAAAGGATCATTCCCTCTAAACCCTCCTCCACCCCTAAAATGCATGAGCTCTGTTACATGAAAACTCTGAAGCTTTTACTTCTTGTTCAGAAGAACGTGTACCCTCACTACAACAGCAGAGGTTCCAGTTCAAGCACAGATTCTTGGGTTTGAAACCAGAGTCACTGGGTAGAAGACGACTGGTCTCCCGTGCTAGAGGTTAGACTGAAAGATCACAATGGCCCCGCTGTCCTTCAGATAACAATCTGAGTCCTGCCGCAAACTTCAGGTTTTCACAGGTGAACGGAGGTCACCCTTTTCCGCAATAAGGAAGAAAAATGCAAATCAAGCTCCTGTTTCATTAGGACACTGTCCAAGTCTCCCTCCATGCATGAAAAAAATCTCCCAGCCTACACAAATTTTGCAATATGAGCACGTTCCTTCCAAAAGAGGAGCGGTCTAACAATGAGCAAGAAGAACCCGCTCCCCAAGCTCTGGTGTTCCATTAAACCCCCGTTGTGGTCCTCAACACAGCACTGCAGCTACGAGAGCAGGCTCCCAAGCCGGCCAGTCGTGGTGTTGGCCACATGGCCAACCACAGCGGCAGGTCAGAGCAGCCACTGCTGTGCTGCGTAAGGCAGGCATTGTTCAGGCGTTAAAATAACCCAGTGCACCACTTACCAGAGCGTCGATGAGCACTTCGGCTCCTTCTTCACTCTCATGGAGAGTATCGATATCCGTCAGTTCTTGAAGCAAGTCCACCACTGCTATGGATACATGTGCCAGGCGTTAAGGACAACCACCACGGGGCAGGCACACCTAACACCACAAGCAGATGGCTTTGGGCCAGCGTGCTCACGGCCCGACCCAAACCCACACCAGGGCCACGAGCACACAGACCGCATCCACAGACAGTCCTCCTAAGCACCAAAACCTGGGAATCCTAACAATTAGGAATGATAAAAAGACATGTGATTGTGCGCTTACTGTATCGGGCAATTCTACTGTTTCTTGATGATACTTATTATTTTTCAAACCACAATTGCTGGAGTTGCTATGACCAGGCACCACCTTGCATTGTCGAGACTGAATAGAAGCAAAGAGAAATGAGCCACAGTAACCCAATTTGGGTATTCTGCTCTGGGCGATACCCTGCTAACCCAGTACGGCACGCACCCACCCAGGCTGCTGCAGGAGGCAGGCATGACCTCCCCCCTGGCCCGGCCCAATTAGGCCAGCATGCTCCTCGAGCCGCCGATCCGCAGGAGCAGCCGAGCCTCCGCCAGCCCAATTGTCGCTCATTAACTCCGGGCTGCATAACACACGGCTCCCCTGACTGCTGCTCAGCTCGCTTGTATGGCCAGACCTATTCCACCTCATTAGACCCGCTTTCCTATCCTCCCAGACACGCTGATCAATCCTGCCCGGGTCCCGCCGGGGCAGAGAGCAGCAGACACAGCTTTCGGCATGTCCTACAGAACAACTCTGTGTGTGATGAGCCTCTGAAACGCGCAGGCTACCCGCCCAGCCTCCCCGCTCTCCTGCCTGTGCAGCTGCTCAGACACCCCAGCAGCAGCAGGAACAGCATTTTCATACATCTTTTCTTAGCAAGGCTTCAGTTGTGACTTCTCTAGTCCCAGGACAGGCTGCGAGAGCTGCCCACCCCAGTCCCAGGGTAACCTATGTCCGGACACCGCAGACGATGCGTATCGGTAACCCCTGCTCTGTCTGTACCCTACAGCAGCCCTTAACCCAGCCACAGCTGTCTGCACGTGTTCGTGGTGGGCAGGAGCCACCACCAGCTGCCGTCAGGAACCGTATGGAAGGGTGGCTGCTCCTCGCTGGGCAGACACTCGGGCTCATACAAAACACAGTCAAAGGTGCCGGGGTACAATTTTCAAAAGTAAGCTGGAGCATGAGTCAGTAAGGAGGATAAATAACCCGCCTCACATTTATTCCACAAGGAATCAACTGTTAGTCAACAAAAGCCGGAGGAACGGGCCAGCAGGAACTCGTGAAGTTCAACAGACACAACGTCCTGTACCTGGGAGGGAACAAGCCCGTGCGCCGGGGCTGGCTGGAGAGGTTAAGCTCTGCAGAAGAGCATCGGGAAGTTCTGGTGGCCAAGCGGAAGGCGAGTCAGCAGCGTGTCACCGCAGTGACAAAGGCTCGTCACAGACTGCACTGCATCAGCAAGAGCGGACCCAGCAGGTCAGGAAAAGGGATTCCTACCTGCTGCTTGGCTCTCAGAGGCAACATGTACAATCCTGTGTGCACTGTGGGCTCTCCCGGTAAGAGAGACCCTGACAGACTGGACTCGGGAGAGCGTAGGACTGCTGAGATGGGCAGGGGGCTAGCACATGGCGTGTGAGGAAAGACTGAGGGAAGGGGGTTTGATCAGCCCAGGGAAGAGAAGGTGAAGGGAGGAACCAACTGCAGACTGCTGCTACCTGCTGGGTGCTATAAACACAACCGTGACAGATTTTTCTGAGAGAGCACAGAAAAGAACTCCAGCAGCCAGAGGAATTCCTCTCGCAGGACATTCCAGGCTAGGGAGCTTCTGCTGAGGCTTCCAGTGAGAGTATCAGTTGTCCTACAGAATTCAGGAGACAGAAAAGCAAAACCTCACTTAAAGCTTTCCTGTCTTTCTTTAATAAAATCTTGTCAGTGATCATCTTTCATTCACACGTTTTGTGTAAAATTGCATGAATCATTCAGCAGATTATTTGCTCCCCTGCTCCCCCTGGACATTGCTTTTGTCTCCTCGCATTAGTCCCTCAAGACTCCACATTTAAATCACATCTGAAGAGCCATTTGTTTAGTTCTCTCCTTGAAGAACTCATTTTAAAAATCTTTTTCCATTTGTTTCAACAAAAAGTCATTAGAAAACTTGAGCTGCATCAATTCAGCTCTATGTCTAGATGCTTCACGCGAACAGTGTTTCTCTCCTGTACAAAAGCAGCAGCAGCACCGTGACGAGGCATTGCTGCAGCCTGTGTGCTGCTCACCACGGCGCAGAAAACACTTCAGCAGTTTTATAAGAAGAAATACACTTTTCCCAAAATTGAAATTCACAGACAAATTTCTACCCATAAACTAACTGACAGGCAAGTTGCAAACCAATTAAAAAGAGTTCACAGTGGAAAAACTGACGAGCCCCTGGCAGCGGCGGTGACCCTAGGACACAGCTTTTCATGGCTGAAGGAACAAAGCAAGCTGCATTCCCGCGCACTCCGGCTGTGAATCAGCTCTGCTGGCCCCATCAAAATCCCCACAGTTTACATTTTCTCTGTGAATGGGAAACTCAGGATAAGCTTTTGATGCTATGCACATGGTACACAAAGCCTGCGGTGTCTGGCAAAAAAATAAGTAATGAAACTATGGTAGCCACGAAACTGGTTATGCATGGTAGGTGTTTCCCACTGTCCAACAGTAAATTGTTAACAAACATTTACCTGAGAGCAGTTTCCATTGCAGACCACCTATAAGGAAGGCTGTGGCTGCTGTTTTGCAGGGACCAGCACGCACCACATCAAGGTTCAGCTCAATACAGTCAAAATACCCACACACGGGAGCAGTGCTTTCTCATATAAACTGGTATGCAATAAAATAATTGTTTGTTTTTATCTTCTGGTCACTGCCCCCACTTAGAAAGAATTAATTTTGAATGAATTTTGAATTCTTAATACATAGTACTGTAAGGAAAAGGGCTAAAAAAAACCCCAAGATCCATGCATTGGACCACAACATTTACCACTCGCAGTCCTTTGAACACTGTGCATTCATTTCAAAACACCTCAGAAAAGCTGGTAAGTATCATCTGCTTCATTGCACATAAAGAAGAATAAATGACTTTCCTAAGGTCATAAACTAACAAAAAGGCAAAAAGAAAAGCCTGCTGTAGTTCCAAGGTTAAGCCCAGTGCCCCTTCCCCTGGGCTTCCCGGCTCCCTGCATTCACTGATGTTTGTCAGGACACAGACACACCGTCTCTCACACCACGTCACAATTCTTCAGCTCAACCTGCTGTGGAAGGTTTCACAAGCAACGCAGGCTGAGCTCTGCACATGGTAAGCCAGCCATAGTTCTATTTACCAGCTGACGGCCAAGCACCAAGGCACCTCCAGGATACTGTTTTTCTTCAAAACTACCAAAATCTGTAACAGTATAGACAGAAAACTCTCTCCGAGATGTCCTCAGATCTCCAGAGGAGCATGAGACAGGGACACACAGGGGCTGGGTTCAGTGACATGGGAACTAACCCAGCATGGAGATGTCTCTGGGTACTTACATGACCAGAGGAGCAAGCCCCAGCCTCCAGCTCCGAGCACTCCAAAGTAAAGCTACGGCCACATGAAGAATTTATCACCTTTACACGCTAAGGTGTAGCACTCTGGTGAGCCAGGCCATGGCAAATAGCTGAAAGCAGGACAGCTCAGCTCTCAACAAAGAGGGGTAAATTGGTTTCATTCTTACTGGGGGCTGTTCCAGACAAAGTCTGCACACAGTCCAAGGCTGTATGCTGCTGAGCCCCTGCTTTAGCTCTTCCTGTATCGTTCATCTGCTCACATCCTAACGTAGCCACTCAAACCTAGATGAAAGGGTCATAAAACAAGACAGGAGAATAGCAGCACTGAAAAAATTCAGAATCAATATTACTTGAACAAAGAAGGCTTTCACTTGGAAAAAAAAAAAAAGACAACATCAACTCAGTGTGGTGGGAAAGAAGAGAAAAACATATGCGGGAGGTTGTGAAAGCAGGATATAAGAGATTACAGAAAAGCCTATAGAAAGCCTCTCACATGAGAGCTGCTTTAACAGCTGAAGGATATCCGTGTTGTCGTGTCCCAGCAGCCCGAGGAGAGACTGCACAGCGTTCAGCTCCACCAGCAGGTGATACAGGTCTGGCATCGTCGCGATCACGTGCATTTCCTGAATGATGTCATTTAAATCCAGTTCGGACTCCATGAACCTGGGGCAAGACAAAATGGTCAGTAAAAAGGGAAAAAGTCCACCCGTTGTGTTCAATGCACAGCCCTTTTCAAAGCAGAGACCACCACCTTCCAGCAGACACCAGGTAAGCCCTGTCACCCCAAACTCTTGGTAGCTACACATGAAAAAATCCCAACTTGTACATAAAATAAACTCCCCAGAGTGAACACCTTCCCTAGCTACCACCCATTAGTGTGTGGGTCCTCTTAGTCTGGAGTAAAGTCCATAAAAAGAACCTGGGTAAGGGAAAGAACAGCCAACTGGACAGAAAATAATGGCACTCAAGCATAGGAAGAAATTCATTTAACGTGAATAACAAAACTCCATGAAAGGAGAAAGAGCCTCACTAGAGCCACAGGTGTGGAACAAAACCCACAAAGTCTGGCTTCAGAGCCCATCCAGACGTTTTGCTCACCACAGCATCTGAAAGCTCTACAATAATAAATTATTTTCTTCCCACACTGACTGCTGTGTAAGCCCAACGCCTTCACACAACACGACGGCGTGAAACCTTTGATTTGGAAAGCAAAACTCACCAATCCAGGATCTCAACCTTGAACCGCCCCCCCCCAAAGCCCCACCACCTGCTATCAGTGAGGATACCCCCTGCCCAGAACCAGCGCACGGCATGAGCCCCCTGCACACCAGAGCTGCAGCGCGGCCGGTGCCGCTCCGACGCCAGCTGCCAAGGGACTGACGCCGGGAGAGCTCCTCAGGGCTCCACCTGCCCAGATACCTAAACCGAAACTATCGAAACCTTATTGAATTTGTGTGCTCCCAAAATAAAAACGACACAAATTCCAGTTCTGGTACTGAAGTTTCACAATCTGTAATATTAACAACAGCAAGAATTGAACAAACTAGAACTTTTCCCTTCACTGCTAATTACTCTCTCCGTGCTCCCGGCCATATACCAGCCACCACCAGAGTCTCAATAATGCCATTTTTAATTAACTAAGTTTGAAACACAATTTAGAAGAACTACATGGCAATAACTGCTGTTACATAAGCCTTATGTAACTGAAAACATCAGTATATTTCAGAAATGGAGTTAGGGCTGAAGCCTAAAATCAAAGGAAAGAAGGGTAACAGAGGGGCTGAGCATAACCATACTTCTCTGGGTTGTCGGGAAACTTGATCCGCAGCTCCTGGTTTTTGTAAGATCTCTTCTCAAAGGTGAGAATCATCTTCTTCACTGAGCTTTCATCCAAAGGTTCCTCCTAAGCAAATCGGGAAGGGCAGAAAACAGAGTTTGGTATGGTTGGAGCAGTCACCCCCCAAACCGCAGAGAGTACAGTGAGGCGGGGGGGCTGCAGCCGGACCCCTACCTTCAGGAACAAACCGCAGCCCCTGGAGTCTGGCTGCAGAAAGCTGCCAAAACCCCCCACGCCAATGCTGCCCGTTGATTGCTCTCCTCCAGCCCCCACCTGAGCAACCCCCCAGAGCAAAACCACATCAGTCGGGTTTCCATACACCAGGGGTTTGCCAAGGGAAGGTTCTTTGGAAAAGGACCAGAAGAGCTTCCCCACACTTTCTAAAAGAAAGAAAATCCAAAACCCAAAACAGTTTTGCAATGGCTCATCTTCCTCGAGCTGCTCTTTTCAGCATGTATTGAAGCTTTTTGCGTCTGCCATATTACAGTAAATTTGCACAAGCAGCTCACGCCCATGGGCAGCTGCTTCTCAGAACTCCATTGTGCTGCTTCGTTTTGTACATCTCCATTTAACTGCCCTGAGTTTATGTTCTTTTGTATTTTCCTCACTTGGATAAGCTTTCACTTCTATTTTAAAGGCTTTTCCTACTGAAAAAAAAAAAAAAATCAATATTTTAGTTTAGTACTTTTTATTTTTGAAATCCTTCTCAGGTGTTTGTCATCTGGTGTGACACATTTACTGTGCAGCAGTAATACAGCTGTAGCTGCCTTCCTGACACCTACAAACACAACTCTTATTTTCCTTGTTTCCCGATTTTAACGCCCTGCTTTTTATTAAAACATTGATGATACAGATTTTCTTGTGTAGCCTCTTCCCTCTCCTCTACTTGACTAGGCTACAATCACTATTAAAGAGAAGCTCTCAAAACAAGAACCAAACCAAGACCCCTTCACACCTTAAGCAAAGTTTTGTCCCATCTGCTGCTCAGGATTAAATCAAGAGCTGCTCCTGGTGTTGAAGTTCTTTGGTTAGTGACTCTAAGCAGCAACCTTGTATGAGATGGGAAATGTCCATTTCTTCCAACTCCGTTACAATAACACCACCAGTCCAAACCTTCCACTGCTCTTGGATCTCCTGCGTTCTCAAGCCCAGCCTGCCCTAGCACCATCTCATTCCAGCAACCAATACTGCGGAGCCCAAACCATGTTCCTGCTGCAACGGGATTTAAATCCCCAAAGATACTGTCACACATGCAGACGCGGCTTCCCTGCATTTTATGGGATTCTTTGCTTTCTCTAACACATATCAGTACAATATCTGCATCAGGATCTGCTCTGTCTCTGGTATTTAACTGGCATTCAGTATCACGGTATCCGACAGATCAGCCTCCTTCCACCAGATTCACTGCTACAAAGCGCGTTTTGATGGCGCTTACACTAACCACGTCCCAAGATAACAAACAAGAGACACTGGTTCTAAAGAAACCTTGGACTTCCAGCCCTCAAAAGCCTGGATGGGAGAACTCCACTTGACTTGCACACTGCAGGAACCCACAAGGCTCCAGCCAGTTAAGAGGACTTCCAGCTACATCCATTCACCCCCACCGCAGCTCCAACGCTGCAGAAATCCCACATTATCTTCCTCCGCTATCAGCAACTGCAACAGCTCAACAGCAAAAAGCCAGGGAGACTTTCAGAGAGGAATGCTTCCAATGCTGTATACAAAGGACAATGATATTTTACAAACCTACATGATTCTGCAGTGGCGAATATCACTCGGTTTTTCATCAAAAAGGACACAGGCAGCAGGAAGCAAATCTCTTGTAGATTTATAACAATCCATGTGTCACGTTTATAAAGTGATCTTTTCCCTGGCCCTTGGCAGAAAGGCCAATGCTGCATCGGATTTCTGTCTCCAAGGCTTGAAATCATTTACCCTCGACAGCTGTTACCCCCCTCCTCGGACCCAAGCCCTTCCTCGTGCAGAAGAACATTTGCTTATTTGCTCCTGCTGCACAGCTATGGAGGGGGAGAGTGGGAGAAGCTGCACGGCTGGGGGCACAGATGAGATTAGGAAACTGGTTAGAATACGGAAACTGCTTCCTGAAAATATATTTTAAAAGGTGATTCAGGTATTCCCAGCCCAAAACAAAAAAGCCTTCCCTTCTCCCTCCTGGAAAGCTTCAGAGGATATCTCTGAGAAGCCCGGTTTGAAATTCATGAATACCCTGCAGGGCAGGAAAGTCAAACCAGAACCTTCAGCTCTACGAGGCACGTGAAAATCATCTCTTAGCCTCACCACCTACACGGTAAGAAAGGGAAATCACAGCGCAGTGATTTCGTGTTTGCTCATGTCCCACTGCCTCCCCTTTACCACAAGACACTAGTGATTTACTTCTTCCTCTTCCTCTTCTCCGTCCCTCTCAATTATCTGAAGAAGTTTCTTCTTCTCATCATCGGTTTCTTCCAGCGCAACAGACTCCTCTTCCCTGTGACGACTGTGTTCTCGTGCACTGGCTTGTTTCCGACGTGCTTTGATTTCTTCTTCCTCTTCATCACGGGGTCTTTTTGTCCCTCTGTTAGGCTGAAGTCAGAGAAACAAGGTGAATGAATACAAGTCTTTAGTGATCCTTGCAAACCAGAACACTAAGATTACAAGACAAACTGAGGAAATTCTTCCAAGTTGTTTTAAACATTTGCTTACACAATGCTTAACAACTCTGAAAACTGGAAAGGAAATTAATTTAGTGAAGTGGAACATCACACGGGTGGATGAATGGCTCTGCCAAGAGCTGTGTCAACATCCTACCTTGTTTGATCTATGAACATCATTCACGGGAAAATATTTTCATCGGCAAAGACTCATATTTCAAAGAGAAGAGGTGGCCGAACGGCTCGGAGGCTGTGCAGCCCACCACCCGCAGGATCCGGACCCAGCCCAGGCAGCTGAAACCACCTCGCGTTTCACAGACAGAGGAGCAGCGTGCTCACGCAGAGACCAGCAGAAGACAATTTTTTACCCACCTAGTCTATGAGATCACATTGACTTGTTGTGTGCATCCTATCCCACCCTGACCTCCCCCGTCCTGCCTGAACCCCGCTGACACCAGAAGGCAGAGCCAAAGCCTGACCAGGGGTGTGTGGGGCAGGAGCGCTGCCGCTTGCCGCACCTCTACAGGGGCTGGGCAGAGTCAGCAGCGCCTGCACCTTTACACTTGGCTTGGAACAACTTATTATTTTATTTCACATCTTCTATTTAATTGTCAAAATTAGAGGTAATTAGCCAGGGACAAGAAAAAGTCCATTAATCCTAATCCCATGTTTGAATTCAGGCAGAAAGGGACGAAAGCCTTTGCAACAGCCGGGAAAACTCCCTCCCTTTCAAAACTCCAAGGATGTTAAATCTGGTCTCTCACAATTTTTAAGGACAACCAAGCTGGAACAGGAATACTCCATGCTCTGTAACTACAGGAAAACAAAGCTTAACTCTTTACTATGTAAAAGGAGCCCGTGTGCTAGGAACAATGAAAACAATAATTAAAGTATTTCTGCCTCCCATCAGCTGCTCAGGTTGCCTGGCAGATGATTTCATAACCCCGGGAGGTCCAACATCTATCCAGCCTAGTTCATCAAACCTCATCTTCTGCTCTGGGGACCCTTTGTCTAAACCCACACCAGTCCCAGCAGGCTTTCACCAATACAAGATGTGGACTCTTCTCGATTTTGATTTAAAGCAAGCAAGGCAGAGGCAGAGGGAACAGTGCCAGTGCCATCCTCTCGCCAGGCCCCGCACGAGCAGGGCCATCGGCTGGGAATTGCCAGCTCCCCTGCAGGTTGGAACTTTCTATCCCCCAAGGGCAACAAATCCTTCAGGCTCGCGAGGCCGGATGCGCACACTGCCACCAGCCACGGCTGCTTCCCTGTGCAACCCAGAGAGCATCGCTGTGTTATCTCAATGCAGAGGAATAACTTTCAAAGGCAAACTCTGCTCTCGAGAAAACTGGAGAGATGGAAAAAAAAACAAAACAAAAAAAACCCAACCACCACAAACCAGAAAAAGACACCCCGAAAAGCCCACGAAACATTAACGATAACGGGGGCAGCCTAGCCGCCACCACGCCATGTCTCAGCGTTACGAGCCGGCACCACAAGATGCAGAATCAAGTTTCCCAGACAACACGTTAGCACAAATCAAAGCTGGAGATGCTGGCTCCCAGCTAGACCCGTTCCAGCTCGGTTATCTGTCTCCTTCCTCCCCACATCTTCTCTGCTCTTTCCATTACGGATGGCAAATTCCTGACTTAGAACTCCACTAAAGTGCTCCCATGCACTTTTAAAGCAGTTACTCAGCTCATCATTCACCAGCCGTGAAGCAGCAGCACAACCGGAGATCCTTTGAAATGAAAAATTTATTTGCTTGGAGGGTTTTGTGGGTTGTTTTTTGCGGGGGATGTCAGGGGTTTTTTTAAGTAGAGGCCTATTACTCATCTTCTAGGTACATTAAAATATAATTTCACATGGATCCATCTGGGAACAAGTGTGTCATTGTCAACAACCAGTAATTCAAACCCTCCCCAAGCGACCAGCAACCCAACAAAGAAAATAAAGAGAAAAAAGGAGAAACGGCACCATCGAAGGCAACAGCTTCAGTAAATACACGTTTCTCGCTCAGTGCCCTAATGGCACACGGGTCTCTGTCCCTCCCGTGTCCTTCCCCTCAGCCCTCGGGAACACCCAGTTCATCCTGCACCCCCTCTGACAGAGCAGCGTGCCAAACACGGGGACAGAGCAGGGAGATCACAAGTCCTGGAATTCACAGCAAAACCTTCTCCTTGGATGTTCCTCGGTCCTTGCTCTCATTCTGAACGTTAAAAAAGGAACAAAAGCCTCGGTGAGGCCACGGCTGTGATGAGGGACCGAGGGAGCTGCTGGTTTGTCAGATGCAAAGTAATGTACCATGGGAAGGGAGTGCATCACCAGAACAAACCCAAATTAAAACTCCATCACGGAACCAGCCCCATTTCCTCCGAGCACCAGAATTTACACCCAGCTTCAATCACAATTATTTTATCCTTTTGGTATTTCTGCATGGTTGGGGGGGAGGAATCTTCTATAACCCATAACAGAAATCATTATGATAAATTCTGGAAGTGCCCGCCGTGCAGTTACTAACGCTGCCAACACTGGCACCAGGCAGCAATTGAATTCCCGGGCAAACGCTATTAAGCGGGCATTAAGGCTTTTCCTCTCGTTATTGATGTTATGCAAAACTTTGCTAAGAATACTGCAGCTTTCCAGGAGAACTAAGAAATCAAGGCAAAGGGAAAGACCTGGGTCTCTGCTCCTTTCACAAGAGATGCACAGTCACGAACAACTGATTTAAGGCCAGCATTAGCGCCTGCTCATTGACTTTCACCCTCCCTTTGCATTGAATTTTCTGCAGGACCGTTACCAACCAGCGAGAATTACGCACGAGCATCGTTGCGCTGAGACCGGTGCATTCTGCTAAGCAAACACACACATTGTGTCTAAACACACTTAGTGAAATAATTTCATAGCTCCACATGCATCTGCACGAGGTTTGGCTTTCTGGCAGAAGAGACAGTTAACACTTTGATAAATGAAATGCGGGGTTTTACTTGGTTGTGCTAAGGTGCATTTAGCAAGAAGATGGAATCCATTAGAAAGCGCACGAGAAAAAGATTTTTAAATTGTTTTGTTAGTTAAGCTTAATGCCGTTCCTGTTGACTGCGGTGCATTCACAGTAATTTATTCCAAAGACGTTTTCGTTTCAATCTAACGCTGATACACCACACAAAAACCAGCCAACACAAAAGGGCATACAAAAGCTGACACTGATAAAGTACAGTAAACAAGAGCTGGTGATGGCTAAAGGGAGAACTGTCTTTCTGTTTGCCTTCCGGCTTTGCTCTGTACCCACTGTGGATGGTACCCAACACACCCCGACCTGCGAACAGCCCTGGGCGAGGCTCCGGGCACGCAGGCCCCGGGAAACACACCCCGGAGCCGGACCTTGGTCCCCGTCCGTGCGGAGCAGCAGGAACCGCAGTGCCCGCGCAGCGAGGACACAGTGTCCTGTGCGAAGAACAACCGCCTGCCCGGTGGCTGCGCATCCATCCCAGAGTCACGATCCCAGGGAACCTGAACACATTGCCCAGGCCCCCGATGGCTTCCAGCCTTCTCTAAACACCAGGAAGGCTGAGAGAAGCCTCAATAATATAGTTTCGTATTACTGAGACATCTGCTTTGTAAGTAACCTTGTTACGGTGAAGCTCAGGAATTATTTGTTAATGAAATCTGAGATAAATCTTCATAAGTGATGCAGCTTCTTCTGTGGCCGTGTCTCAGCCGGCTGCAGAAAGCAACGAACGTATTAGCCGCCAGTCGAGGGCTCCTGAAAGCAAGCCCCGGTCTCCAGAGGCATCCTCACTAACAACTTAATTTTGTTTCCAACACTCGTGATAAACCAGGCTGCTATCAATCTCACTTTTCATTGTTTTCTCTGCATCTGGAGGGCTCAGGATCTGAGCGCTGCACTGGCAGGACTGCTACCAGGAGAGCCCAGCCAGCTCAGGGGCCCCAACAGCTCCAAAATCACACAGAACGAGGCAAACGACATCTACACGGATACAGATCATTGCTTTCGGAGAGAACGAACCCCTCTCCTCTCCAGACTCGCTGCCGAGGCTCCCAGAGGAGCACGGCCATCAGGACACGCGCAGGGACCTGCCCCAGCTGACCCACACACCCTGCAGCTGGGTGGCCGGAGATCACACACTGAAAAGTAACCTAAACATCCGCTGGGGACCTCATCAGCATGCCAACACGGGTTCTCCCCGGAGCGGAGCCCAGCCGAGCGCTGTGGGCCAGGGGCTGAGCTGGGACAGATCCTTGTTTTAACCTGCGGGCAGGACAAGAGCCACCGGGGCAGTGAGGCTGAGAGTTGTCCGCTCCCTGCTGAGCCGAGCTCCTCCGACACCGGATGCAGCCATCGAACCGCACATTTGTGGGAAATTACCTGTACAATTACCATCTACGGAGATCCATCCACAACAGACTGCATCAGCCCATTCAAACGACAAGGGGACCGCCCAGCACAGCGAAGTCGGACCTCATCCCGTTATTTACGGCTTCTGTTGTGATTTGATTTCACTAACATTCCATTGAAACCTAGCGATGTGTAATGATCACACACAGTGGCAAAATCGGCATTTAATGGGAATTAAAACCATCTCCCTTACTCCCTCCCAAGACAGACTGCATCAGCCCATTCAAACGACAAGGGGACCGCCCAGCACAGCGAAGTCGGACCTCATCCCGTTATTTACGGCTTCTGTTGTGATTTGATTTCACTAACATTCCATTGAAACCTAGCGATGTGTAATGATCACACACAGTGGCAAAATCGGCATTTAATGGGAATTAAAACCATCTCCCTTACTCCCTCCCAAGACAAGTGAAGGAGATCTCTGGAAAGAGCCGGAGTTGGCTTTTTCCCTGTAACCGGCGAGCAGCCACCCAGGCGCTGGGCACAGCCTCTCCAGGCAGAACAGCAATATTTAA